CTCCTAGACTTTCATGGTCAATTCAATTAGGTGACGTAAAGAGTAAAGCCTAGGCAATAGCCTGCGAACGCAGGCGTATTTCTGGCTGTCGCTTGTCTCCGCCAAAAAATAACGTCTGCGAACCCGAGCCAGGAAACGATTTTTGTGACGTATGACTTTTGTTTCTCCTTGGCCAATCAGATTCCATGATAGAATGAAACTCGAGTGCTCCTCTCAGCTAATACCTCGTGCAGTAGTTCTGGGGCTACTTAAGCTAAACTGTGATTGGCTTAAAATTCATACGGGTTAACCCGAAAATTGGGAGAAATTTTCCATCCAATGAACTTGATAAAAAAAAAAACGTCTGTGTTTTCACAGAGTTCTTCTAAGCCCTAGTAATGTTTTAGTTGTTGCATTCTTCTTTTCTTTTGATTTGCGAGCAGGATGCAAGATTCGATTTCAGTGAATTTATCTGGTTGTGTAAGCGAGAATTATAGCAGTTGACAATTCGACTTTGTGTAGTAAGTACGCCTATAGTTCAGTGTTACGTAAAGAAAAATTAAGCTTTGTTTCGCAAGAGAATTTTTTAATTACACTCGCTATAAAAATTGTTGGTTCCAAAATAGCGCTTAATGGTGAAACTGTCAAGTGAAATGTATTCCAAGCGTTCATCCCAAGGTAGCGCAATACTTGGAATAATAACACGACGCATGAGTGAAAAATGATTTAGACAAAAAACAAACGAATAAACCTTGGAATGAAGCAAAATAATGACGTCATTCCCTCTTCGCGTCTTGACCTTTCGCAAGACAAGAAATAGAAATGGCAGATGCTGGTGGTAAAAAAGGTAAAGCATGCAGAGAAAAGCAGTTTCCACCCGGGGAGGGCAGTCGATAAAATTCGCTGTTGGAAAACCGTTCGTCGATATCCGTTATCGGTTTCATCGATTGATGTATGGAAATCAATGGTTACAACCGATTTCGGTCACATTTAACAATACTTTCTGAGGGGTTCCCCATAAGTTCTGGCGACCGGTGAAAATTGTAATACATTCCGAGTCAATTATTTCTATTCCGGATTAAGGTCAATCAAACGCACCATAAAACAAGTGATGCCGTGAAAAATAATATTAAGACCCATTAGGGACGCTTGGTTAGTATTCTACTTACTATCCTGGTCTGTTCTAACAACAATTGGGTCACTGACTGGTCCATCTCCTTTCACAGTAGATGCAAACACTGTGATATTGTAGTTGACGTACTCCTTTAGATTTGTCAATTCCGTCTGACGAACGGAGCCATTTACTTGAACACTTCCATCGTCATTCTCTATTTGTGACTTGTAAGTAATGGTGTAACCCGTGATGATACCATTCTG